CGGTCACCAAAATTCTACAGCTCATTTGAAAAGCTAGGATTTGAATCCCAGAAAAGCTCTATAAATAGAGCTTATTTTTTTTTTAAAAGGGAGAGGAGGTCGAAAAAAAAAACTCGAAACCCTGCAAAAAAAAAAAGGTTGCCAGATTTCAAAAAAAAACTTTCTATCAAATAAAAAAATCCAAGGCAAACCAAACACATACAAATGTATAAATAACAGCCTCTGAAAACGAGGACCACAACACCAAACAATAAAAAACAAACACAGACACATAAAAAAATTTTTTGACCGAACCTTCCAAGTTAAATCTACGTCGTTTGAAGGTCCTTTTCACAAAAACAAGCTCAGATCTGGATTTTGGAGATTGAGAGAAATATTTTGATTTTTTTTTATTTTTTGATTATTGACGACCGACAGTGGCGATGGTGGTGATGATGACCAATTGGTCTTCTTGGATTTTGTCTGAAAAGGGAAAGAGGTGAGGTTTTTTTTTCTGAGAAAGGAAAAAAGTGAATGAAAAAAAATATTTTTGGGCCTTTTATATAAACTGCCAAAGCCAAAACGACGTTGTTTTAGCCTCTGAGATCAGTACGTCAACCCGTGACCCAACTTGGGGTTCGCGCACCCGACTCGATGACCCATCCATCCTTTAGCCTCTAACCGATCCAACTGAACTGACCTAGACCGAAACGTCGGACTAGATTGCGCGTTGATCGGATCGTTGATCTGTCCGATTCAGGTAAAAAAAAAAATTTTTTGAAAATTTTATTTTGTTATATGTTATTTTCATAATATTTATGCATATTAAATTATTTGTATTTATTAGAATAAAATTTTTTGAAATTTTTATAATTTTGATAATTTTAAAATAAACTAAAAAAAATAAACCTTAAATAATTTTTAAAAATTAATAAAAAATGTAAGGAAAAAAAAATTTATCCGATAATGAGATTCAAAGGTACTTCGAGTAGTGATACCTACGAAATCTCTAAATGAGAATATTTTTTAAAATATTACAAGTGTATTGGAGTATTTATAAAAAAATTTTAATACAATAAAAATTTTTTTATAAAAATTAAAAAAAAAAGAAAAATTAACTAATTTATTAAAAAAACAAAATTAAAAATAATAATAATATAAATAAAAAAATTTATCCAATGATGGGATTCTAAAAGTATTCCAAGTAATAATGCTTTACGAAATTCCTAGGTGAAAAGATTTTTTTAAAATATTACCAGTGTATTAGAATATTTATAGAAAAACTTCATTATAATAAAAAAATTTTCTTCAAAAATTTAAATTAAAAATAAAAAATCAAATAAAAAAATTAATAAAACTTTTAAAAAAAAGAATAAAATGCGTGCATCAACATATTAGTATTTTGCATTGCATGCATAATAAAGTTTTTACAAAAAGTAAATTCGAGCCTCTAAGGATGGGATTCTAAGGTATTTCGAGAAGCGATACCTAAAAAATCTCTATGTGAGAAAGAGTTCTTCTAATATTATTAACGTACTGAAATATTTTAAGAATTATTTCAATAAAAAGGTTTAAATTTATTTTTTCAAATAAAATTTGAACAATAAATAAAATAAAAAAAATCAATTCCCAATAAATGAAAAATCAAGGAAATTATTTTTAAACACCGAAAATAAGTCTATTTTTATTAAAATCAATGGATAACACATAGTTAATTGGTACTGTTTTAAACGAGCACTGTGAGAGTGCTAATCTTTCCCACGCGTAACCGATTCTCGAACCCAAACTATTTCACAAATCATAAAATTATTTTTTAATAAACTTTAATTAAGTTTAAAATCTAATTAAAATAATAAATTTTAATAAGTGACCAATCGCATTCAGCCAAAAAAAATTGGTGACAATTTCATATTTTTTTATTCATTTTTAAATTTATCAGATGAACATAAAATCGTTACGATAGCTATCAAACAGAATAAGGAATATTTTGAGACCATGTTAAATTTTAAGATTAATATTAAATGTAAAATCAGTAAATAATAAGTGAAGTGATCTTTATTGTATTTGTGCATTCAAATTATCTCTAATTTAATAAATGTAAAAGTTCTTTTCCTGTACCGCGTCTAAAATTTAACACATAGACTGCCAAACAAGAGATCCAATGAATTGGGTATTTCAGTAAAGAAGGCGGTAATTTTGTTTGGGGTCGTAAATTAATCGAGGAGAAGGACCAAGCTCTCTTTGTATGCAGCAATAAGTAAACCAAAATTTTCAAGGCACACCATTCTAATGACACGAGTATGTATGCCAAAAAGGCCATAAAAACAAAACCCCCACCCCCTCATTTGCAGACTCCACAGTCCACAGTGCACCAGAAATAGCTTTGTAAATGGATATCGCTTGAATTAAAGATGGTCTAAGCTTTTCTGTTCACGCTTATGTGGCAGTTAAACTACTCGAGTGTAATATTACCTTGATGGAGTCTCATTATGGAAATCTAAAGTAAATAAATCCGCCAATTGCATTGTTCATCCATCAGGTCCGGACCATCGTTGGAGTGACATGATTTTGACCTCAAAATGGAATCTCAACTTGACCAAGGCACATCTTCAATTCGATTTTATAGCATTTGTCAAGCTCATTTGGTCACAAACACGAGGAGAGCATGTTCTTCAAGGGATTTATGTAATGTAATGCTACACATCATGTTTTTTTGTTTTTTCTCCACCAACAAAAAGTAAAATGAAAAGAGAACAGTGATTATGATTTCTTTCTCTCAAAGAGAGGAAAAGTGGAAAACAAAGCAACCAGGGAGACACTACACAACAGAGAACCGGGACAACAAAAGAATTCGTACGAGGACCATAAATTTGCCTTGTTTCTTTGGCTGATCATATGTCTAATCTTTATGTAACATTTTTAGGTGTCGTTTACCAGCAGTTGCATTAGGCCACGATAGATGTTGGAAATTTGGGATCATGATGGACCCATTTTCTCAACATGAGCGTCCTTGTTCGTAAACACAACATTCTCCCGAAACATGAGCAATTTGCTTAGAGTTCACCGGATCTGTCTTTTATTGAGTTGCGTCTGCAACATTATGATTATTCATGGTACCCCTTTCATCGTTTTTGGGTCAATAAAATTACTGATGAAAAGGTTAAATTACCATTGGAGGACATGGGCTTGGCCCATTTACTTGACCCAAGGATCAATCATGTCTTCTCTTATTTGGTATAAACAAATAAATCCAGGATCAACAATTTCTACATCTCTTGTGGAGGCAAATGATCGAGCGATCATTCATCATTGAACCTGGTTTTATGTATTTTTGTAGAAATATATAAGATTATGTATAAGAGTTTAAAGATTTAACACGTGGATAATTAAGTAAAATCAACATGAAAATGGTTTAATTGTAAAATCATTTTATGAATTAAAAGAGTGATGAAAGAATTGGCTGTTATCCCACACCCTGACATTCTCGATTGGCTCCTGCCAAGTAAATAGAAGGAAAAAAAGAAAACCAGGTACTTCAACCAAAAGGGAAAAAGGAAAATTCCAACTTCTTGCCTTGCTTTTGCTCCAAATGTAAATAAGTTAAACTATTCATGAATCATTTAAGTTTGATTTGTGAATATTTGAATTTAATTTGTTTATTATCAAATTGAGCTATTTTAATATTAAGTCACAATAATAAAAAAAAGACACAAATCTTATTCCAGGCCTGAACCCAGCACCAAACCATTATAGTTATTATAAAAGGTGTATTCATCTTCTTAAAGAGCCTATCACAATGACAGTGTAAAGGATGCTTGAACTTTTTTCATTGCAAGACTATTGCACCTGTATCTTTTGATTATGAAGCCAATAGCAAATTACAAGTTTTTTTAAAAAAAAATAAAATTGAAAAAATTATCAATATTTATGATGAAGATTTGCAAATTTTGATGTATACATATAAAATAGTATGTGAAAACTACTTGATTTTTTTATTTTTTGCTTAAAAGATAAAAATAAAAATCCATATTATGAAATAATTTTCTTTAAATTTTATAATATGTTGTTGATTTAAACTTGTTCATTTGATATATGTTAAAAAACTAGTTAAACATTTGATTGATTGTTATAGTCTTATAAAAATTTTATATTATGCCAAAAGAAAAGAGTAAATAGAAATCTTCATTCAACTTGATTATCATTAATTATATCATTAAGAGTGACTTCCAATGTTGGGGTAAACCGTAATGATCGACAAAACTTCAACCATCAAATGACAAAAAAATAATAATAAAAAAAAAAGAAGTCAGCATAGATGGCGGTCAGCAGTTGGGACGAGAAGTGCAGAAGAAGACTAAGCGGTAAAAACAAATGCAATAATGCTTGTGATTGGAGAGAACACATTTCGAAGCAAGAGTGCTTAAAGTCCCATCCTCTAGAAGCCTAGAAAATTTCTAGTTGTCCCCATTTGCTCGCACCCCATTCCCACTTGATATGTCTAAAAACTTTGAAATTCCACGGCTTAAGGATTTGGATTTTCCAATTTCTAGTCCTCTTCTCTTATCCCTATTGACGAGCTACAATTTCAGCTTTGACGAGAACTCCATTGTCACCATCCTGGACCATTGTCATGGCAGTGAAATTCCAAGTCTGTTTCTATTGGCATAATACATTAGAGTACTCTCTATTAGATAGCTGTTTTGATTATTTTTATGTTTTTCTTTAAGTTGTTATTAAAGAAAGGTTAATGCTTCATTTAAATCATCGAATTTAGTTTCAAAACAACGTGATGAAGGGTAGGAAGAGAATCTCACCGGCCCTCAAACAAAGCATAAGTAGTATTGTAAAACTGATCAGTAGCCAATTTATATTTTAAAATTAATTTCTAGCAATTCTTAGTAAATTTGAGTAAAGAACACTAATCAGTCGTGAACTGTTGCATCAACAAATTACTGCACCCATCAAAAGTATTAGCATTTAATAAAATGAGTTTTTTATAAGCAATCTAAATATTAAATAGACAATCTCATTAAAAAAAAAAAAAAAACCCATGATAAAGAAAATAAATAGGCACTCGAGAGACTACCATATCAACATACATATATGTCCCCTTTTGGTGAAAAGAAAAAGACACAAAATAAAGCAAATCCCCCATAAGACTGCAAGAAAGTAAAAAAGAGCACAATGGTCCTACGCAAAAATCAAAGTCCATAACCTAAACAACTTAGGTAGCGTATCACTTGCATATGATATTTCCTAGTGTTTTTGTGGCAATTTCAATATCCATGGTACAATTCATTTGGGCCGACTTCTTCCTCTTGATCACCTTCATCAGGTGAATCTTCCCATCTAAATTTGAGTAGCTGGTCAGACGTAGAACCCCCGACCTAATATCACTTCCCAATTCATTAGTATTTGATAAACTGCTCGAGCTCAATACCACCATAACATCAACCTTTTTCGTTGATCTAGCCCTGGCTCGAGCCTTCTCAATAATGGCCACGCCAACCGTTGTGTCCCTGTATGCAAACGTGACGTTACCAGCTTCATACTTGAAGTGACCAAAGTTTGTGTTTTTTACCGTGAATTGAGTATTCATTCGCAAATTGAACGAAGGGGAAGCCCCGGTTTCAATATTGAAGGGTTCAACAAATGACCCTGACCGCACCCGAAACTTTGGCTTTTTGATACGCATAACTGTTAATGCGAAAAGCAGTATGATTCCCGTCTGAAACACAGCAAACAATACAATATACAATAGGCACTTCATTCGCTTCTTTTTCTTTAGCTCTTTCGAGTAAGCGGCAGCAGACTCTTCGCCACTTCGTGGATGGCCATTATCCGATACCAATGGATACGGGGATTCTCTCTTCTCTGCCATTTTTTGTGCTAATTACTAATTCCAAAGCTGAGAAAAAATTTTCCAAGTCCAGTGGAGAATGAGATATGAAATATGGGGGCATATTAACAAGTACTTATAGAAAAATGATTCGTCAAGAAAAAGATGGGAATTGGGATAATAGATTGAAAATGTTGTGTAGAAAGAATGAGCAAACACTTGCGTTGAAAAAATGGTGCAACAAGTCACTTCATCTAGTAGTTCTTAGACTATTATGCTTTCTTGAGACTTAAAGGCGTTGGGCGAGTACGCGGGCATGAAACCTTGACTTCATTGGCTTATGATGCAATTGGATTAATACCTTTCAGAAAGGGATTAATTTTTCTTGGTGTTCTACTTTCAATATTAGTAGTCGTAGTAGAACCTTCTACTCAGAAATGACTCATGGGCAAGCTATGTCAAGGAAACAAGTGACAGCCCAATGGCATTGCACCATTCCAAGAAAAAAACATATTCTTTGGTACCTCAAAATTAATTGAAAGAATTCCATATTGCAAGTGGTAGTAGATTTTTTTTTTCTGAAAGAGATCTTAAAATTTAATTATTCAATTCTTAAAATATTTTTTTAAAACGGGCATCGACCAAATAGATTTTTTTTTTTCTTTGAAAACCAAAAGAGTACTATTTTTTTATCCTATTAGTTTGTGGTCGATAATTATCTAAGTTTTTATGTTTTATTGCAATCAATTAAGCTTTTAAATATTTATTTTCATCAATTAAATCTTTATTATACGAAAATTGATTAATTGTCAACATTTATTTTTGTTTAATCAATAGTTTAATTTGGGTGAAAATATATATTTAAATATTTAATTAAATGAAAATATATATTTTAAGATTCAACTGATTCGATATAAAAAAATTTCAAAGTTTAATTGATTGTAATAAAATATTAAATATTTAAATGATTATTAAAATTTTATTCAAAAAATTTTTTATCCTTTTGCAAAAAATAAAAAATAAAAAAAGTAAATCAAAATCTTTTTTGAGGTAAATAAAAGTAAACCGAATTTAGGTGATTCTAGCTTTTAACATAAAAATAGTTAGTAGTCTATCATATAGCTTTCACTAGCATTAGATTAATTGGGCGCATTTGTACGTTTTGATAATTGCCGTCCAAAAACACAACACTAGCTTTTAACTTAAAAATAGTTAGTAGTCTAACTATAATGTATTTAACATTACTTTTACGTTCAAAATCTGCTTTTTGAAATTCAAACACAATACTAAACAAACGAGACCCAACTCATTATTATGATTCTAAAAGCGTCCTATACCGTTCAACATATTTTAATAAGGCCAAAGCCCAAAGGCTTTATAAAAGTGACGTTTGATGGTAGAATATAACTTTTACGTTGATGTACTGATAAAAGTTTGTTTATGAGATGAAAGTAACTTATGATTATATTTTTAATTTCTTTCGAGTTTTATCGGCGTGCTATCAACGGGCATAAAAAGTAAAGTTCCCTTCTGACTTTATCATGTTTTAGCTCTGTTTCTTTCCTTATATAATAAAAAAAAAAAGAGTGACGTTTTCATCTAGAAACCGGGAAGTGCTGTGTATTGTGATTTTTTTTTTTTTTCAACCAAAGAAGAAAATGCCACGAACAAGGCAGGCAGTGGCACCCTTCTCTTCTTACATTTCCACGTTGATACTTGACATTCGTGGCGATGTTTTATTTGTTTATTTAAAATTGTTAAGTATTAAACTTGATAAATGAAATTAAAAATTTATCATTTTATCTGTTTATCAAGATCACATAACTTTTGGTTAACGTGTTTTTATCATATTGTACTGTATATTGAGGGATTAGTATGAACTCCATGTATAGTTGTTAAGGACTAGTTCATGGAAAAACAATTGTTTCTTATGTAACCTTAGCCAGCTAGCCTTGTTTGTTTCCCATGGCTCCAGCGACTGGACAGGTCAATACAAATATTATTAACGACTTTGCTTGACTATCTAACCATGCATGGAAAATATAATTAATGAGAAAACGATCATAGTTAGTCCTCCAAATTTGACTATGGTGCTTACGTATAAAATTTGAATCGGCTCAAGTTTATTCCGAAGTCAAATGATCAGGTAAGTAGAATTGTAAGGCGAAGACTTTCACGCTTATCCAATCCGATTGAGTCTAGCGCAATGAAAGAATAAAGAGTAATATTGCATCCACTTTTGTCTTTTTGACGACCCTCACAAATATTCTTGTAGCTAGGTTAAACTTACCACCAAGTATTTCGGTCGCACCACTTGAAGCCAATCCAATTGAGTTTTGGTATCAGAATTCATTTTTTTAGGCCAAAATCATTTAATTAATTCGATGATAGTCAAGAGACTCATGTAAAACATCAAATATGTCATACACGATCCAAAAGTGATAAAGCACAAAATAACATCTGACTGTAAAAATCAAATCGCTATTAATCAGTGCACACAAAAGCTCTTTACCCCCTAAATTTTCAGATCCAACCACAAATCAACCATTTCGTATACTTCCATCGGAGCCAATAAAAATCTGATTCATCACTCACAGTAAGATAAAACCAAAAACACAACTAAATTGAGAAACACACGCCAAGAGATACCAAGCTCATTGGAACACAACTACAATACAACAGAATAGCCATCAAGACATTAGAGAAGGCTAGATAGCACCAGCCATCCATGAAAAACACTTCCTTGTGCACACTAGCCTTACTCAAATCATCACCGAATCAAGGAGATTCTGTCCAATCACACCATCCTTAACAACTCAAATAGATTTCTTGAAAAGAGAGACAAGTCATAAATCCTTACATCCCAAGTATACAGCACCGATGAAACTTATGGGTGCTTTAGATTTTTAGTCACCATATCTTTCAATCTATCAATAACAATAGCATCCTCGCAATTCGCAAAGAAAACCAAAATTTTTCCTAAATCCCCAAGTGGCTTGCGCTTCTTCCGTAATTGAAGTGGATTCTGAAAATCATCATTTGATAGGGATTCATTTGCATACTTAATTCCTTTATTCTTGACTCCTCTTAACTGTATTTTCTTTGTTTTTCTTCCTCTCTTTTTATCTTTTAGTATAGGGTTAATAGTTTCTATAGCTCTTAAATTTTGATTTAAATTTTATTTTAATTTTTAATTTTTAAAAAATTTTAATTACATTTTTAATTGTTTAAAATTATCTTATTTTTATTCTTTCATCCATAAAACTATCTAAATTAACTAAAAATATCAAGTGGCGCCACGTGATGATGTGAGTTCGCATCTCATGTGGTAGAAGATGAACCAAAATAAAATTTTTTCAAAATTTAGGGACTAATGATAAAACTATTTTAAAATTTTATATATTTCATATATATTATATAAAATATTAACTTTAAAATTATATTTTTTATTTTTTTGTAATATAATTTATTAGTTTTTTTTAGTAGAAATTATATTTTCAAAAATGAAAATTAGGTTAAAATTTTCAAATTTCTTTTTTAAAAAATTCAATATCATTTTTAAAATAAAAAATATTTTTATTAAAAATATTAGTTTACTCAGAAATCATAATAAAAATATTATTTTCTATCAAAAAATTATTTTTTAAAATATTAAAGATCTTTTTTTTCCTTTTTCAAATACATTTAAAAAACAAAAAATATTTTAAATTATATATTTTATTTTATATGAATATAAAGTTTTAAAAAAAAAGTTTCAGATTTGATTTTTTGATAGAAAATAAATTTTTGAATAGATTAATAAATATATTTTTTAAAATGATATAAAAATTTTTACATAAAATTTTTTAAACAAATATAGAATTTTTTACTTAATTTTCAAAATGAAGAGGAATTTTTTAAAATTATTTTGAAATTTTTAACTTAATTTTAATTTTTTTAAAAATATATTTTCTATTAAATTATTATTTTATTAATAAATCATGTCATAATAAAAAATAAAAATATTAAATTATAATATTTTATAAAATATATTTGAGATATATAAAAATCAATTTTTCCTTAATTATTTTTCCTTTTTTATAAAATTTATTTTATAAAATATATAAAAAAAAAGGAAAAATAAAAGATATTTAATATTTTTTATAAAAACAAATGTTTGATAGAAAATAATATTTTTATTATAATTCATGAGTAGAAAAATATTTTTAATAGTAAATATTTTTTAAAATGATATTGAATTTTCTAAAATTATAAATTTTAACTTAAATTTAATTTTTGAAAATCTTTTTTCTATTAAAAACAAAAAAACTAACTAATAAATTATATTACAATAAAATATAATTTTAAAATTAATATTTTATAAAATATATAAAATTTTGAAATTATGTTATCTTTGGTCTTTAAACTTTTAGTGATTTTTTTCATATCTCTCTTTTGTCACATAAGATATTAGCTAACGTCATCATATGATGCTAACTGATATTTATCATCAATTTAGATGATTTAATAAATGAAAAAATCAAAATAAATAATTTTAAATAATTAGGATCCAATTAAAAAAAATTTTAAAAAATAAAATTAAAATTTAAACCAAGATTTAAGAATTACAAATGCTATTATTCTTTTAAAATAACTTGTCAAGAGCTTCCTCTCAATCTCCTCCAAAAATATTATTTTATGAATTTCTGATTTTTTAGACAAAGAACATCGCTTCATGAGTACAACATTTTCAATACCAGCCTGAAGATTTAACTCCATATTAACAGTTGCAATCAATTTAGAATCAATAACTATCTCCCTCACGTTAAGACCATTCTCATCAATTCTATTATCAACATCCACATAGCATCTTCTACCCCTAAACCCGCTCTCTGAACATTTGTCTTGTTTTTTTTTTTTTCAAGAATGACAGTAAGCTGAGAAAAAGGCTTTTTCGGCCTGTACCTGGGCCTTTTGGGACGATGACTCACTAGGGCGTAGGTCCTCAACACTATCAGGCTCAGACTCACTCTAGTGTGATCCGGCTTCAGGGCCTAGCGAGATTAGGGTCCAAATCCAACTAATTTGCACAAAATAAATGCAATTATTTATTTATTCTTTTTTTTTTAGATTACAATTTCATCTCAGGTGTTTAAAATTTCTCAACAACTGTCAGCGACCGCTCTCGGATAATGTTGCCACTGTCGAAATTGTGTACATATGCCAATGGAGAAGTCACGGATTGGCAAATAGCTAGTAATTTAACGCAACATTCCTCGTCAAGTGCTGGCTCAACCCACTTAAGACTCTAGAGAAAAGAGAGACAGAAACTGTGTTCTCGTGATTAATTAGTAGCTGTAGCTGGGCTGATACTTGATTACCTGCCTTTTTCTTCTCAACTGCAAAATTCACCCCCCACCCACCCGCACCGGCCAACTCCCATCTATTCCAAAACTGGCACATATTTTGTCATCTAATACTAAATAATAGTAGTAGTAATTATAAAATTTTGTTCACATGACTTAGTTTCCCTTCCTTCAACAATGCCAAATTGCCAACTAATATCATCTTCTCTATTCCTGAAATGGTACTACTATCTCAAACCTTCTTTGTCTTCATGCCTTTGCCCTAATTTCCTTCCTTTCCTCTTTTGAATCACTGGCCAAAGAGCGAGGCAAAAAGGCTTTAAGCTCTTTAACTGCCTCGAATGAATGAGAATCTTGGCTGCATGCCTATTCTTTTTCTTTAAGTTACTGTTGTTTTTATTTTAAAGAAGTGAATGGTACCCCACCAACCATATAATGGACTCAAACATATGGCCTAATTAAGAATTTGTAGTCTTCTTAATTTTTTTTTTAAATCGCAGTTTAAAAATAAAAAAGATTATAAGTATTAATATTTAAATTTTAAATTTATTGAGTATGATAATAATATCCACGAGTTCAATAAAACTAAATTTCTTGTAACAAAACTATATACCAAATTATCCTTGTAAAGATAAATATAAAAGCAGGCGGAAATTATATTTTTTTGTGGGTTTTTTTTTAAATGCTTGATTATTGATAAATTTCTTTCTTAGCTATGATGAACCTAGCAATTCTAATCTTCATAAATATTACAACGTAATTCGAATATGCTTCCAGTTGATAGTTCCACTCTAGAATATGCCACTTAACCTTATGAGCTAACACATGCATTTAGTCCTTAAGTTTATATAAAAAGGCACTAGTTATTTTTATAAAACTCTATTAAATAAAACTTCCAAGGGTACCCCATCAAACTTTTTAATTCTCATTCTTCTTATCCTCTGTCAACATTATACTCAACTTAATGGAAACTACCATCAATATTCCATCTCTCCACACCCCATTCTCTATTTCCCAAATTCTCTCCTTCCAACCAATCCTTTCCCCTCCTCCATGGAATACCAATCAGCCTTCCCATCCCCATCCCAGCCGCCACCATCACCACCGCTCAAAACATATAAGCTAACAGCATCCTCGGTCTCTTATACCAAATTGACCACCACTACTACTTCCATTACGAACTATTTCCTTTTCAAGCCTTGCACTTCAAAGCCCCCAATTTACATCCTCCGGGATGTCTCCTTCACGGCCAACCCCTCACAAATCCTTGCCATTGTTGGCCCAAGCGGAGCAGGAAAGTCCACTCTCCTTGACATTCTAGCAGCTCGAACATCACCAACAAATGGAACTCTTCTACTAAATTCCACTCCGATCAACCCTTCTTCATTTCGCAAGCTCTCTGCATATGTTCCTCAACATGACGCATGCTTGCCATTGCTTACTGTAGCTGAAACTTTTGCTTTTGCTGCTCGACTTCTTGTCCCTGAAACATCAGAAATTGACACCATTGTTTCATCTCTTCTATCAGAGCTAAGGCTAACGCATTTGGCTAACACCAAGCTCGCTCATGGGCTATCAGGTGGTGAGCGCAGGCGTGTTTCAATAGGTCTAAGTCTCCTCCATGACCCTGCTGTGTTGCTGCTTGATGAACCCACTTCGGGCCTTGATAGTACTTCAGCTTTCAATGTAATGCAGATCCTCAAATCAATAGCTGCTGCACGTCACCGCACTGTTGTTTTATCCATACATCAACCAAGCTTCAAGATTCTTTCCACCATTGATAGAGTCCTCTTGCTATCAAAAGGGACAGTTGTGCACCATGGTACACTTTGTTCACTTCAAAAATTCTTACACTCCAGTGGGTTTACTGTCCCTCCTCAGCTCAATGCCCTCGAGTATGCCATGGAAATACTGAACCGGCTGCATGAGAGCAAGCCAATTACACCGCCACCACTCCTTCCGTCACCAGAAGACTCAACAACTCCTAACAATAATGAAGCAAGTGATATCAGGTATAGAAGCTCAAGATTACATGAAATCTGCTCTTTGTTTAACAGGTTTTGGAAGATTATTTACAGAACAAGGCAGCTTCTTTTAACCAATACATTGGAAGCTCTTATTGTGGGCCTTGTTTTAGGAACAATCTATATTAAGATTGGTTATGACATGGAAGCTATAGAGAAAAGGTTTGGTCTCTTTGCATTCACTCTCACCTTCCTTCTTTCCTCTACGACTGAAACGCTTCCAGTCTTCCTTGATGAAAGGCCAATTCTGCTGAAGGAAACTTCAAGTGGGGTTTATAGACTGTCATCTTATCTCATAGCTAATACCCTTGTCTTCTTGCCATATTTGCTTGTCATTGCGATCATATATTCAACTTCTGTCTACTTCTTAGTGGGTCTATGTGCTTCATGGCAAGCTTTTGCTTTCTTCGTTTTGGTCATTTGGATCGTAGTTCTAATGGCAAATTCATTTGTCCTCTTCTTGAGCTCTCTTGCACCAAATTATATAGCCGGAACTTCACTTGTTACAGTACTTCTTGGTGCTTTTTTCCTCTTCTCTGGTTACTTCATATCCAAGGATAGCTTGCCCAAGTACTGGCTTTTCATGCATTTCTTCTCAATGTACAAGTACGCACTTGATGCGCTGCTTATCAATGAGTATTCTTGCCTTGTGTCAAGGTGTTTTCTGTGGTACAATGAAACCAAGACTTGCATGCTAACAGGAGGTGATGTATTAGAAAAGAAAGGACTCCATGAGATGCAGAGATGGACAAACATCTACATGTTGCTTGGGTTCTTTGTGTTCTATCGTGTGCTTTGTTTGCTGGTTTTGATCAGAAGGGTGTCAAGATCGAAGAAATGAAGATTTGCAGAAATTATGTGTCAACTGCCACGTTTGATTTTTTTTTTTTTAATTTTACGCCTTATTTTCTGCTTTATGTCCCATTCTTCTTTCCGCTATTCACAAATCATAGTCCTTGTAATGGCTGCTTGGAACTCCAACTAAATTATGCCAATAATCAGGTTTGATTCTTCATGTTAACAGGGCAAATACTTAGAATTTGCCACCACATTATCTTTTCTTTTCCATTTTCTTCTTCTTTTAAGTTTTCTTTAGGCCACAAAGGATGCAAGGAAGTTTCAAATGGCCTAAAACACGTCCTCGTATGCGCTAGAAAGCTCACAATTTTTTTCTTTTTACAAGATATGGCTGGCATCGTGACATCGTTTCATGTAATTTGTCCGGATTACTTTTCACTCCCCAAAATTGACTTTCCTTTACATGTTCCAGGCTATAACATGTCTATTCTTCTTGATTGGGGACCAATCAGAAAGATCTGGTCGCATAATTATCAACTTCACAGTGATATATGGATTTTAAACCGTAGCAAGAAAATTCTTTATGAATACTGCCATTTGCATGGTATTGAAACAATATGTCATTGTCCTAAACCCGATCAAAACTCTGTCAACACAACCCTCAAATTTATCAGCCACTACTGCCATTCAGAACAAGGTGGCCTGGGGGGCTCCAAGTTTTTTAACAGGAGCATGACGAGGCGAGATGTGGTCGATGAGTTGGCAAGAATACAAAAAAAAAAAGTTGGCTTGACCCATTCTCATCTCTGCTAAAGAATGTGTCACGGGTCTCTGTCTATTTGTGATGCTGAGGCCTGAAAGTAAAGAAGAATCCAGGTGTCGTCCTCGATATAAATAGGGTCTTGTCGGGTGGTGAAATGCTGGGACGTTTTGTTTGCTTTCTTTCGCTTGGAATCAGTGTATTCTTCACGGGTTCTTCTTTTTTAAGTCACACGTGAACTCGTAGTTGCTGGTTTTCCTAGTGCCCAATAATTGGCTTACCCTTCATTTGTTTCGCGAAAAAAACAAAAACTTTTGAAAGATAATTTGTATTTTTTTATATTTATTTCACAAAAAAAAATTGATTTATCAGTAGAAAATAATTTATTGAACAACGAAAATTAGGTCTGAATATAATTTTATCCAAATCAAAATTTAAAATATAATTTTTTTAACTCAAACTTAATTTGATTTATTTCAAAATATTATTATATTAATAAAAATATTTGTTATTTAATTTTATTTTAAAATTAAAATATTAATATTAAAAATCTTCTAATAGCTCAATTTTTAAAATATTTTTATAACTCTACTTTAAAAAGACCTTGAACTATTTTAAGTTTAAGTTTATTTGATCTGACGAGAAATATTATTATATTAATAAAAATACTTTTATAATTAAAAATTAAATAATTTTTTTTATTTTAGATATTTCTATTTGGTATATTATTAAAAATAAATATTTTTAATATTTCAATAATAAATAATATTATATTGTTATTTTCTTAATAAATAATAATATATTAAATAATATTTTTATTATTTTAATAACAAACATTAAGTAATATAATAATATTCTTTCATAAAATTAATATTTTATAATTTCCTATTTTTTAATTTAAAATATATTATTTTATATTTTATTTATTAACATATTTATATTATCATTTTAATAGTAAATATAAATAAATAATATTTTGTTATGATTTAATAATAAATAAAATATAACTATTTTAATAGTATGAATATTTTTAATATTCTAATAATAAATATTAATATTTTAATATTATTATATTAATAAAAATAATATTTTAAAGCTATTATAAATATTTTAAAATATTAATATTAATATAAATAATAATAATAATAATTTTGTTTTAAATGTTTTTTATTAATATAATACTTTAATATTAAATAATATTATTAAAAATATATTTTTTAATATTAATATTTTAATAATAAATTATTTCAATATATTTTAATCCTAAATAATTCTCAATATTTTAATAATTATATCAATATTATTTAAAAAATTAGATTTTTCAAAAAAAATTAAACAACAGAAAATATTTTTCATTTACTTATCCAATTAACAAAAAATCTTTACTTTTGTTTAATGTAAATATTTTTAAAAAAATATTTTTTAAAAATTAATTTCCACTAAACAAACCAAACTTTATACACATCTTTTGCCAATTCATTTGAGAAAATTAATATTAATGGTAACATGAAAAAGATAATAATGCGATTATACTACAATAAAATTAAAAAAAAAAAGAATTAATCGTTATTAAGTGTTACAAAATAAAATAGTTGGTATTTAATGCACTAATAGCATATAAATAATATTTGTTATTAATCAACTATATGGTAACACCTCGTTCGCAAATAAAACAAAAAGTAGACAAATTCTTAAAAATAAATAATAATAAATGGCATAATACGCTAACTCGTATTTATTTTTAAAAACTTAAATGTTTTTTTGTTTTATTAATTTTTTTTCTAGAAATGACGAAAAGAAGTAATAATAGAAAACTTGTGAAGAAGTTTGCACATAACTTTTGAGATATTATTTATTTTGACGAAAGTCTCTTGATTTTATTTTACTAAAAAAATCTTATAAGTTTATGTTTAAATATTAACTTATATATCATAGTAAATTCTTAAAATATTTTCGATATAGGATTGAAGTATCATAAATTTTTCTTTAAAACGTGATATACTCATCATGTCCCGCACAAAATACATATAACACCATAAAATCGTATATAGAACCACAAAATCATAATCATATAAAATATTGAGATTTTAGATATGACTCTCACTATGTAACATTTAACTATCTTAAAATTTTAAAAATATCTTTTATGATGTAATATTTAACTCATATTTAATTGATAATTGATCTGATACTATTTGAAGATACCTACACTTAACCTATTAAATATTGTCTGATTAGATCCTAAGATTTCATAATTTTTTTTTTATAAAATATACTTCACAAATTTATATTTAAATTTCAATTTATATACCATAACGAATCTTCAAAATATTTCAATGTTAAATTGTGGCATCAAAAATTACTAATCTAATAATTAAGCTCCATAGTAAAAAAAAAATAGTTGTAAAATTTAACCGTTTTTGGATTAAAAAAATGCACTATTTAAAGTACTAATTACCAAAAATTGCTTAGTTCTATTGGAGCAAAATAATGGTTAAATAAGAGCTCAATGGCACAATATATTGCCGCCCTACAACCCTTGGAAGTCTTCTCAAACCCAATACAAACTGGTGGGGAGCCCAACTATCCCACACCTAAAAGGCCGAAACCCTCTTCAGTAGATTGGAGCGTCCCTAGCCCCCACAGCCCCACAATGAGATAAAAATGTCCATTATTATAACCTGATAAACATACCCTTTGGAAATACCTAACTAATTTTGACCCAACATATGTAGCACTTGGGCGTTTTTGGCTCAAAAGACCATAAAGGGGGGCTCGCTCTCCAGTCTTGACTCAAGAATCTTGATATACTACTGTACTGATATGGCAAGACGAGGCCTTGAACTTGACCCATCAGATCCTCTAGCATTCTATAATCTATATGCTGCCAGCAACCTCGAGGACTCTAGTAGACATTAGTTAGGTGAGAAGACTCGAATGGTGAAGAGAGAAAAAAGGTCGAGGAAGAATCCTAGCCACGGCTAGGTTTAGATCAGGAACAAAATCGATCTCTTTGTTGCAGGACGAAGATCACATCCACAAATAAATGAAATTTATGAGCTAATAGAATCGTTTGAGGGCGAGTTAGCAGTTGCATTTGGTCTTCTAGGACACCAACACATGTTACCAAGAATAATAGTATTTGCAGAGACTGCCATAACTTTTTAAAATTTGTTACTCATCTGGTTGATAAGGAAATAATTGTAAGAGACGGTAATCGTTTACATTCCTTTAAAGAGGGAGAGTGCTCATGTAGAGGCTGCCAGTTTTGAAGAATGAAGCACTTTATCCTGGTTTCTGCCTGGTCTAATGGGCAAAGGTCTCGAGTTGTTTTGTGTTCATGGTTTTAAACAAAATTCTTGCAAATTCAGTGCAGAGCTTTTACACCTATTTCTGTCACTGTCCTATACCTGGTTGGTAATCAGAGACTGATAATAAGTTCAGCTAAACTTTGAAATGAGAAATATTAATCAGCAAAAACTTTTATGTAAATTGTCTTTTCCTTTCACCTTTCCATCAAAATTATCTAGTAACGTAGAGTGTTTGATTTGAGATAATCTTTTTAAGAAACATGGGGATTTATATTTAGTAGTTACATCATTTTATTTGATAATAATTTAAAAATTTTAGTGATCTCAGATTATAGAAGTAATATCAAATCATTAGAGTAATAAAACCATTGATTTAAGAAGTGATGATTCTCAACCTCAAAAATAAAAAAGTTTTATCATCATAAAAAAATTATTTTCAATATTAATTTTTGACTAATTTACCTTACAAAAAATATATAGTTAACACTAAAGTTGACTACTAAAAATTTAAAAAATCAATTTTTTTATCACTTATTCTATAAAAAATTTAGGTTATAAATTTATATAATAAAAATATTAAATAATTTATTTATTTAATAATTTTTTAAAAAAGTTATTTTTATCTACATTGATTTATAATTTACAATTTCTTTTATAAAATATCATTTTAGCTATGTTATAAATTATTAATTCAATAATTATTAAATATTTTGCTTTTATATAGGATTATTTTGAATATCTTATGAAATATATTTTATTTTTTAATATAATACCAAATACAATAATTTCAATGAACTAATAATTTATAATATTATGTCAAACATAATAATTTAATATCACAATCATCTTAACGATCTTATCACCATAATAATTAAATCACTGTAATGATTTCAAAAATTATACCAAATGCTACTTCATATAGATCATGGCAATCATGCCATTACCGTTTATCGGTATCAAGATGAAAAAAAAAATATTTATGTAAACGTCAGAGGATTGGAGGAAACAGAGCTGAGAGGACAACAAAAATTTTTTGACCCCTAGCATATCAATATTATTTGCAACTGAATGGTTCCGGCCTCTGTCTTAGGTTAAACCTCTATTCGATCAACGAAACAGGAGCAATACAAGATTGACAAACATAAACAAGAGAATGAGAAGAAAAATGCAAACTCGACTCTGAAACCCTAAGGGCCTCCAGCCAAGTCCTGTAGCATGCTACTCCTTTATCAGTGGGTCCCCAGAGGTGACTTTAGGCTCATCCTTTTTAGAAACAGCTTCTAGCGTCTTGTAGAACTCCTCAGGGAGAGGACCAGGTCGGTGTTGAGGAACATGCTTGGGAATTGGAGCATCATTTTCGATAACCTCACATTCATAGTCATCGGGAACACCCCAAGGATCCCACTCTGCGATGCAATAAGATATAGAATGCATATCATTACTAAGAGAATGTAAAATATCATAATTTTCTGGCAATTTACTTTTAATATAAGCTACCATCAGAGGGAAACTTTACTGGACATCAAAGAAAAGCTCAAAGAACATCAAAGAACCATGAAAGTGGCAACTAATCCCAGACCAGTAAAAAAGTTTGGAACCAATCTATACCAAAAAGTAAAAACAAAAACCACCCTGAAATAGAGTAGACCAGAATCCTTGACTGCTGTGACTAAAAACAACACCAAGACAAATTACGAAATATTACGAGTACCAGAAAGTAACTCTATGAAGGGGATGAGCAAAACAACCACCAGACATTCAAAACAGAAGGGCAAGCAAAGCAACCAGAAGAAGAACGTGTCATCACATCAGAGTAACACTAACGAATTAACGATTCCTATTTTTTTTTCAAAAAAAAAATGCAAGTTTTGCGGATTGAGGTGATTTGTGAACATGCAATTCACTGCATTTATAAAAATGAATAATATTAACTAATTTACATATGTTAAAGCCATCAAAAAGATGTATAGGGGTCGCTTTAGATATTGTATGTGTTAATATATCTCCTTCCTTAACCCGGCAACACCTTTTTGAGTTTTGCCTCCCACCTTGGTAGTCATCTCTACAGTACTTTCACTCCATCAAGTTCATCCACATTCACATTCCCATTGTTAAATTATGTTCAAGCAATTAATTGTTAAATTTTCTTACTAAAAGGATTTCTGATTTCTCGTAGGCAGCATTGGTCAAGCAATGCAACAAACCAGCTTTAATTGACCCAGATTTGCTTGAAGAAACACCTAACCAACCATTAAGCCAAAGAACAAATCTGACCCAATTGCTGACACATTGATAAACCTTGAGCTTCTACAGCACCTAAGTTTTCGCATTATAAAACCTAAAACGACATATTCCTCAAAAAAAAAAAAAAGCTTTTAAATAAAAGATAAAAATGAAATAAATTAGTACGAACCGATCATTTTCCCGATAAGAGTGAGCTCGTCACGCGCTTCTTCGATGAGCTCCTCGACCTGGCCGCATCCGAGGCGCTTCTCGATCATTTCCCAGTCTTCCTCCTCTTGGCAGACCTTCAGACGGTGGCGTGTGAAGCTCTCCACAGCCTTACGGTAGCCCTCGTCCTCGGGAACGGCCTGGATCTCTTTCAGGGTCTTGTTGTAGAGACCAATCAGGACTTCCCTAGCGTTGGGGACCACGTCTAATCCGACGATCCCCGTCGTCTCTTTCAGCTTCGCCATCAACGGCCGCGAGATCATCCGCAAGAACATTTTTATATTTCTGTCCAATTCTGCGGAGCACTGAATCACTACTCTTCTCTCAGACGTTCTATTTACTTTTCGAATGTGTCTGTCTTCTGATGAGATGAAGAACTGAACTCGGAACTAAAACATAGTTGAATCTCGTGCGGCGAGTTTATAAGAATGAATCTGGGCCGACTGTTTGTCATGTGGGCTAACAAAGGGGTCTCGATTTAGGATTTCTTATGATGGATTAGCCGACGTCGCTGCCGTCAAGCTGTTTTTCGGGCTCCTGATTTGTAGAGTCCCTGACTCCCGCGCTAGAAGGGCTTTTGGGCCGAAACACAAGACTAGCCCATAATAAAGCCGAAATTCATAGGCTCAAATATTTATAAGAAACAGCTTATATATTTTCCCTCTCTTGAGACGAGAAAACAAGGAAAAGTAGCTTTAAAAACATCTTTCACACTGATTACCACCAAAATCTCTCTCTCTCTCTCTCTCTCTCTCTCTCTCTCTCTCTCTCTCTCTCTCTCTCTCTCTCTCTATATATATATATATATATATTAATATAAAATTTTTAATTTTATATTTTTTTAATTATTAATTTTAATAAGTTTAAGAGATGAGATTAAATAATTTATTTATTTATTTTTGTCATCCTTCAAATCTATTAAAATTAATAATAAAAAAATGCAGAATTAAAAAATTTTATAGTGATGTAAATTGATCTTACTCATTATATATACTTAAGTATTTGATTTAATAAATTATATATTTAATCAAAAATTAAAATTCGAATATAATTTTTAAATAAAAAAGTCTTTTCGCATCAAAAGATAACTTAATTTTGGGCTAATGAGTTGGCAACTCAATTTAACTGGCTTTGAATTGAATTGAAGTGTGCAAATCCTTGAAAAGTCATAAGATAAAAATACATATGTATAAACTTCAGAGTTAATTAAGTTGATTTATATTAAAAAGTGACATTTTATAAATTTAAAATTTAATTTTAATAGGCATGGTTTTTTATTTATAAATTATAATTTCTTTTGTACTTAACAAAAAACATTAATGTATGATTAATGTCATTATTTGTATTTTTTTACCTTTTAATTATTAAGTTTGTTTATACTATAAATATCAAAATAAAAAAGTTCATATATACTACCTTTCTTTTGTGCCAAACAACATATTTGGTGTTAAAAAAAAAAAAACTTTGAAGCATAATAATTTTGAAAATTTGCTATTTATTCATGCATTTGGCATTCGGCTATTTGAACATGATTTATACTCTTTTTTATATAAAAAAGAAATCCAATCAAAAGTCAAAACCTAATTGTTTTCTCTTTACAATATTGGGCTAACCACTTGCATCCCTCTCTTTTACATCATTAGATTAGAATCTTGAGCTACCTTAACCCATTAATTACCATGATTTACAATTTTTAGGAAGCTTAAAATTTAATAATTATAAAAGAAACTATTTGATGTAATTTTTTAAAACTTTATAAGTGAAGTTAAAAAAATTGTCATATATTTACTCATAGAATTTAAAAATTCTGTTGTCATAATATTTAATAATTTCTATAATGATAAACCACTAATACTCGTTAACTCCACGCAGTTACTCAGATACTACTACTTTATTTGACTATTAAATTAAACTATTACTTCATTTTCTTTAATTAAAAATATTAATATAGTATGTAAATAAAATATGTTTGACCAATTCTTATTTCTATAATATATATTTATTTATTTATTTATTTATTTATTTATTTGACTTTAGAACCCAGTTGCAACTCGCAAAGTCCACCGTGTAAACCTAAAGGAAAGGGATCGTGCCTTTATGTCTCGTGAAAAAGGCAACCCAACCAGGCATGGCTTCACGGTCTGAAACTATGAAGTGAAGTGAAGCCCTCTCTGTCGCGGTTCCGACAACTGTCATTTAACCACTAGACTGTCCCGAAATGCCAATTTTAATATCATGGACAGGAGTTAATCTCATTTGGATGACAAAGAGAGATTTTCTTGCTACTATAATATTTAGTCAAGGAGGCTGCTAACTGTATTTCTTGTTCAGTGTTATTTGTTTAAACAGTTTACAATATTGAATAATTAATGCGGAGATTCAATCTTAAGGCCGCTGCAGTTTTAGGATCCGAATATGCATTTATTTAGTGTTTCAGATTAATTTATTTGTTATAATTTATATTTTTATGGAATATTATCCGTTCTTATCTTTTTGATCTTACGATTTATCTCATAACAAATGTTTTACAAAAAATATAATATTGAATAATCAACAACATAAAATTTTTATGATTTGTTAATTTTATCAAGGAAAAACCCTTAATTATGTATAATGATAAAGTATGACTACATTGACATTAAAATATGAAGTCCTCTAAATTTAAATGACTTGCGTAACCAAAATCATTCCTTATATTGGGGAGTTATTCAGGGGAATTATCATCTTGAAAGGGAGATATATATATATATATATATATATATTGTTCTATCAAACAGAATGAATGGATTCCTAAAAAAAATTAGCTTTTACAGTTAATAATTATGATGATTACTGATAATTATATATACTGTCCCATATGGTTTATTTTATTGCAATTAACCAAAAAGCAGGCAATAACAAGGTTCTTTTCCAATGTTTACTGGATTAAAGCTAGCTCGATCATGCATATTACAACCTATATAAAGGGACATTAGATTTTCAGATTGTGCCTATATCATCAGGTCCAGAATCAGATATGGTGATCGTTGAAACATAGAATCAAACTGGATTCATCTATGGTTGATAATCATAAAGATTACAGAAGTGCCAGTATATATCTTCAACATTGTAGCAGAGAATTAGAATAGAACATCACATGGATGATAATAGCTTTTGTCCTTAAAATGAAACTGCATATTTAGAATGTTTATTATTATGTTATAATTAATTTATATGCACGAAATTGAATGTGGAAAAATATGTTTTATATTCTGTATTTATCTTGTTGGAGAGATAGATGATACATAAAAGGAAAAGTTAAATGAACTCCGAGTATTCTTAATTTCTCTGTACTCAAAGCAAAAAATTTTTATACTCGTTGTATTCAAAGAAAAACACTTAACAACTATAAAGATGAAAATCAGTCTAGCAGCCACCACCAGCGGTGGCTCCGGCGGCAGAGGAGTAACCAGTACGCCAATAAGAGAAATTATTGCTGAAGGCCGGGCTGCGTCCTAATCCACTACTGGTACTGGCAGCACCAGCAGAACCACCAACGAGTTCTTCCAATCCCTTGAAGAGATCTTCATCTACATGCACGTTGGGGATCAGAACATCATCTTCATCGCTTTCTCCATCTGGAGCCACTTCAGGAGTCATTTCAACGCTTTCTTCTTCACCTCCATTATCACCCGCGTTGTGTAAGGGGGCGGTGAAGTCTTCAGGCGCTGAAAGTGTGGTTGTGGGAGAGATGGGAGAGAGGCTAGTGGTGGAGCGAGGAGTGGAGCAAGAAGCAGTAGTGCTGGGCAAGGTTTCCGGGGCAGAATTTTTGCTTGCAGCCTTTTGAATGGTTGATAGCTTGTTTCGAGTACTGCCAGCGAGAGAGTTCCGGTGAGTGGGCTTTGGGTGCGTGTGGTCGCCCGAGTAGGTAACAATAAAGATGTTGGAATCCAAATTGCTACGCTCCACTTGTTTTCTGGCTGAGCACCCCTTTGAGCTGCTGCACCTGTAGTAGTTTCTGAAGAAACCAAAATTCATCTTTAGGCTGTGGTTGGTAATATTAGGATTTTGGTTAAAAAAGAAAAAAAAGGAGAAGAAAGAAACATCTAAGGGTACAGAAGTTAATTAACCTTGGATAGGGGGAGCCTTTTATGGGCTTCTGTCCGTATTTACGCCATGCCCACGGATCTGATGACAAATTATCTGCTGTTACATGGCATAGGGTTCTCTTCTGCTGGTTCTTCCTGGAAAAACGAGAGAAATGGAGGATTTTTAGCTAAGGAAGTGCAGCAAAGCTTCAATCTTTTTGAAACATAAAATGAACACAAACAAACAAGACCCGGCCGCTTACCTCTTTCTTGATCTTGGAGCCTGAGATTGCATGTTCCGTAAAGGAAGGACAGTAGCAGGCCTTTGAACTTCCTGCGGTTGAACTCGTTGTTGCAGCTGCTGCTGCGTTTGTGGTTGTTCCTGAACATGATGTGGTTGTTGCTGGTTTCCAGATTGGCCAAAAGCAAAATTGGGAGTGCAGGTGGGAGTCAACGGGGAGCTAATCCCGATGCTGCAAGTGGTGGTGGTGGGCTGTTCCTGCTGCTGCTGTAACCTTTGATGCTGATGATGTTGGCCGCTAGATCCTCCAGGTACAGAACTTGAAGAGCTGGGATCAATACCTTGATTAGTGCTGATGGTGGTGGGGTCGGCGTAAAGCAAAAAGGGCTTGTAAGAATCTTGCAAAGAGCCACTTTTCCTCCGCTGTGAAAGATTAGGAAATGAAAACGGGTCATCTTCTTCCTCAAACGTCAACGAAGCCAAGCAAGCCAAAGGGAAAGGGTTACTATTCCCATTCGTAAAATTATTGCTCGGGGAATTATTGCTTGCTGTGGCGGTGGTATTGGCGGCTGCAGACGTACAACTTCTCACCACTGCATAAAGATCCCAGTCCTCAGCCATTTTCGGTAGCCAATCAACCTAGAAACTTTCAAACGCTCGATCTTAACTCAGCGTTTTCTTAAGCAAATTAGGCAGAAAGAAAACACAGGCAGAGAAGGCAAAAAGGATGGCGCTGACTTTCTTTTAGATGTGAAAGAAAGAAAAATATTAGAGAAAAAAAAAAGCACAAGACTTTTAGATAGAGTAAGAAGAGAGGAAATGGTGGTGCACTGACTTGGGAATTGTTAATTATTTATACATGTGAGAAAGAAAAAAAAAAAACAAGACGTGTATTCCATTTCGCAGAAAAGGAAAGAAAAAAAATTTCACTCCTTCTCATTTTATTGTCAGAAAAATATTTTTATTTTAAATATTTTCTATTCTTTTTTATATTTAAATTTCATTTTCTATTTTTTATAATGAAAAATATGATGCATTAACGTTATAAAAAAGTTTAAATTTATAATATTAAATATATACAAATTAATTTTTTAATATACATGAACGTCGAAAAAAACACTCAAAATGAAATGAGAGCAGAGTGGATTTTTTTTTTTTGGTACATGGGTTTTAATCTGCCCACTTTTGCTTTTTCTTTGACTTTGTAAAAATGTCAAAAGAAACTGTGAAAGACGACGCTAGTGCTACCTATGCTTCCAAAGTATCCTACACGCTCTGCGTTGTTCTCTTTGTATTCGACATCTATTCTTCTTTTTGGCCATTTACTCGAAATCTAATTGGGTGCTGTATGTTCCTTCAACGAAAGGTTTGGCGAATTATCACGCTCTCTTCATGGGCGTGTGTATAAGTCACTCCAAATTCATATTTTGTAAATATGGTCTTTGCATGTTTTACAACTGGACTACATTCCATTTTTTAAGAGCTTCCAAACATGTGCTTTGTGGTTGAATTATTTCTGCGTTTGGTGGATGGAATGAGAAAAAAAAAAAAAAGTAAATACAAAAGACAGATTGCATTAATATCAAATAATTTTTCTTTTTTTCTTTTTTAATTTGTGAATACATTACATACACGCAAAGTCTTATTAATGTAAAGATATTTCTATTCAACTTTTTCATTGTAATTAACTCGTTGTAATTAAAACAGTTTGGTAAATGTTGAATTTATATTTGATACCACCAATTAAAGGAAAAATTTTAAGTGAATAGCTATGAACGTGAACGGGTAATATATAGTGAAGGTAAAACATTTTTTATTTTTATTTTTTAATTTTATATTATATCCGTTCTCTTATTTATATTTAATAAATATTTTAAATTTATTTTAATTTTTATTTTCATGAATATTTAATAGATATGGATAATTTTTGTATTAGTAATTTTTTTAAAAAATAAAAATTATTTTTTTATTCTTTAGTTTTTATATTTATTTTGTATATTTAGTTTATTTTTATAAATATATAATCAATATATATTTTTCAATAAAAACATATTAATTCTAATTAACCTAAAGTAATAATTTATACTATTTAATAAAAAATTATTTACTAAATATATAAATATATATACAAGATATAAATATGAGACGTATGTTATATTACTTATTTTTATTTCTGTATCTAATAAAATTTTAAAATTATAATCATCTTGATACTAAAAATGTAATATTTATTCTTATCGTCAAATAAAAAAATATATTTTTTATTAAATATAAATAGAATAAACATCTCCGTGTCTTTTTTTTTTTTCCTTTGTCTAAATTCAAAACATTTTGGGCTTTATATTTTTTTGGGTACCGTACGTTCTATCCTAATCGAGAAAACATAATATTTGATTCAATATCAATATCGTGTGTCCACTAAAAATTAAATATAATAAAATTTAAATTAAATAATGTAAAATATCTCAATAAACAAATATAATTACTAATAAAGTTTGGATTGCTGTAAATACATTAATGAGTTTATTTTAATAATTCAATAAAATAAAATAGAGAGAAAAGCAAAGGATATTAATATATTATATCAAATTGGGAGATATGTTGTATGCAATTCACGCGATTGTAAGGAGCGTGATTTTGGCAAATTTGGAGGCTGGAGCTGCTATAGTTGCTTTCTGCATCCTTGCTATTTGCTAACGTGGTAGAGAGCCACTCTCTTGGCGGCGAGTGTAAAATTGAGAATTTTCGAGAGGTGCGGGGTCCACCCTACCACAAAAATCCTTATCCATCCCTAGAATCCACTAAAACAGTCACGACCCGAGATAGGAAAATGGGAATTCAATGCAAAAGCATTTGTTTGGCACGCTGCACGCATCCTCATGGAAAGACTGGTCCACCTCCCCTGGCCATAGGCAATTCATGACCCTACGATCAGAGCCACGTGGCACGCTTCTTTTTGATTTGGTGGGCCCCTTCTCTGAGGGAAAAAACTGTTCCTTTGTTGCTTACCTTTTATAACTTTCTTTTACGTTATGTTTGGTAAAACAAATAAAAGAAATAAGATTATATTTAATATAAAAGATGAAAAACAAAAAAAGAATAAAATTATAAATAAAATTATGAATTTAATTTGAATAAACTTTTTGATATTTAAAAAAATTGAATTAAAAAAAGAAATATAAAAACAACTTATTTTCTTTTCTTTTAATCAAATAAAAAAGTAAAAATAAAACTAAATTTTCTTTTACATCATATCTTTCCTTTCTCTTTTTTCTCTTACCGAATACAATGTTAATGAGGAGGGATCTTGCACCGTTAAATTTTGGTTGGGTCTTTTATTTCTTAACAAGATGCTTTTCTTTGTTCAGTTTGTGCCGGAAATCTTTGCATTTTCAATGGTGGCTGATTCGGAGGTGCCGTGTGAGTGAAAAGTATTGAAAGGTTTTTGTTTTTCTCCCCCGCCGTTTACGTTGATCATTTTTCTAAGAGGGTAATGATCAGGTGTGCGCCATTTTCACATTACTAAATCGCTAATATGGAATCTTTGAGGGAAATAAAGCTTTTTTTTTTCCCAAATTTGGGGCAATAAAACTTGACACTTGTTTTTCCAGCATAGAATGGCACTTGCGTCATCCCACCTATGTGGCAGAGCACGTGACCCGTTTCCATTGGCAAGTTATTGAGCGAAAGTCAATGTCTACTTTCCTACCAACTATGTTAAAAGTGTTTATAGAAAACTCTTTTTTTATATAAGGCCCTAATGATGACAAACATGAAATTAGAATGTGTTTTTATTTTACCTAAATTTGTTATGATAATTATCAAATATAAAATCGTATGGATAGTTTCTTTGGTAAATAGAAAAGCTTTATTTTCTTATTTATTAGGATTCAATTTTAAATATATATATTCTTTTACAATGATTCCAAAAGAAATCAGATATAGATAAAATCTAAAGTATATCTCTGATTATATTATTAAAAAAGCAAATTATCAAATATTACAAACAATGTTTTTTATTTTTTTGCATATGCATGATATGTAAGCCTCTAATTCGATCAAATGACAAATGATTTGCAACTTTTTCTCAACATGATTTGCTTTTTTTAGCAAATATATTTGAAATTTCATCATTTATTGATTTAAAAAAAAAACTTATGAATTCAATTAAGGAGTGCTTATAAAGATTGTTTAAGGATAATTAAAATATTATTTTAAAAATGTATTTTTGCATTTAATATATTGTTTTTAGTACATTAGAAAAATATATATTTTGACTTGATGATATATATTTTTTTAAATTACATTCATAATTAAATGTTATATTATATAATAGACTATATAATCAATTATTATATTCTATAATAAATTAGAACTTAGCTAAACAATTAAATTCACACATAATAAAATTTAAATATAAAACTTCAAGATTATAAGATCTCTTCTTTATCAATTAAACAAAGGTCTTGACAAAAAAAAATATTAATTATAGATCTTTTCTTAAATATATGCCACCACACACCGATTAACATTTCAAAAAACTATTTGATGTTAATTATTGGATGATGAATATAATTTCCAAAAAGAAAAGGTCAAATCCAATCACCATTAAATTTTCCTAAAAACATAGCACATTTTTGGGAAGGGTAAGAGTAAAAGTAATGATTATAAAAGAGATAAACCATTTTTTTTTTTGAATAAAGATAAACAATTAAATTATAAATGCAATAAATTATGGCTTTAAGTTTAGCAAACTGGAAATAGAAACTAAGGCCCAAAAAGGAATGATCATAAAAGAGATTAACCATGATAATCTTGAATTTTGATCATTTACAATAGTAAAGGATGACGAATAGTGTGGAAAGAAATATCATAAAATACTAAATAGGGTCATGAAATATTTTATTTTTCAAATAATTTTTCAAATTTTATTCTTTTATTTGTATTCAAATAAATATTTATCTAAAATATAAAATTAATTTATATTAAAAACTTATTAAATACAAATTACAGGTAAACTTATTTACATACAAATTAAAAAATATATATTTGAGAACAATAAAATTGTAAATATTTATTTAAATAAAATAAAAAATAAAAAAATGTATTTTTTAATAAAAAATTTACAAATGACGAATAGCAAAACCGCGTTAAAAAGAATCCAACCTCCAATAAAATAATATTGGCTATCCACAATTACTTAAAGGTAGCTTTCTATTTTCTTTAAAAAAAAAAAAAAAAAAAGACATGGGAATAACATAAGAACAAGAAAATAATATATGCTTTGGAAGCAAGAACAAGGCATATCCGAAGGTAAAAATTTGTTGGATTACGTTCGTTACTGATATTATTATCTGTTTTTTTTTTTAAAAAAAGCGTCTCTATAGAAGAAAAATGATCTTTGTTTATAAAGTTATAATACACTCGTACAAGTGAGATTAGTTTTTCTTCAACATTAATTTCATTAAGAGTGTAGATTGTGTTTTCGTCAAAATTAAGTTGATATGGTTTTCTTAGATGATATTTTTCTTTGTAAAAAAAAATATAGAGATAAATAAACTGTTTAGTCCCTCAGATTAAGGTAAGATGTATCGTATTTGACAGTTTAAGAGAAGTAACTGCAGGTCGTATATTCAAAATGATCCTAACAAATGATCACCGACAAGACTTAAACCCAAAATTTTTTTATTGATGAGAACAAGTCTTAATCAATTGAACTATCAACTTATTGGTTAGATGATATTATTATTGATGAAACTAATGTAAGAATTGTTTACATTTGATATAAGATATTGTTTGTTTTAAGATCAAAAACCTGCCTTCAAAGTTTTGTCTTT